AAACTGCAGATACAGGACGAAGTACGTAGGATTATATACCCCTAAGTATGAGTACTGTACCAGTCACAACAGATGCATTGCGATGCATATCTGCAGTAATCAACAAGATGATCACTGAAATAAATAAGAGTCATACAGTGTCAACAATGGGAACAGGGAGGCAATGAAGGCTGTACTGGCTGGTGCAATCAATGTGCAGCAAGGAGCCTGACACCGGAGCTATAGTATAACATGTGGGCAACAAAAACAAGTCAGAAATGAGTCAGGAAGTAAGGAACACAACAAGTTGTCCATCAGAGAGGGCAGTGGAATACCAGATCACAGTGGCAACATGGTCTTGACAGGTATTGGAAATACCTTGACAGTGGGAGATCCAAATGTTCCCTGGAGCATTTGAGCCCCTAGGACGGTGATGATTACAAGGGATGCAACGAGGCATGTGATGCATGTGACCATGAGAAGTCAAAAAAGGAAAGACCCCTGACAGAAGCATAACAAGTACACTGCACCACTCAGTGGAAGGTGGACTCGAGATTTTCACATCAGGTGTCAAGTCCAGGGTGGCCAGGTTCAAGACTGGACTGGAGACTGGTGAGAGTGCAAGGCCAAGGAGTTGGGAACAGAGAGGGGGCAGCAGTTGGATGGTGGACTGATTGGACATTGTGACTGGAGACACAGTGCTATTCCCTTGCAGGGGTTGCAGTCTGAGTCTGAGGCCAAGATGAGAGTCCAGGACTGAAGAAGTACAGGCCAAGTATCTATGAGCTTATATACTAGAGGTAGCTATAGTTCAAAGATTGGTAATGCTGGTCTCACAATGATTGATAACATGATTGGCAAGAACAGTATTAGTAAGGCATGACAAAGGTGACCAGAGACCGGGAGAGAGATGAGGGTGGACCAGGGATGAGGCTGGGTCAGGCTCAACCAAAATGACACTTCATAGTAGCACTGCTTTGTAGTGCCACCCACTGTGAGGAATCTGCATTCCCTAGATGTGTAAGCCCCTATTATCAACCATTCTGTGGCTATCATTATGTCTCCATACTGCTTGCACCCACCACTGTTCACATGCTACCTTCCCACACCCTTTCACCCTCTCACACACTGCTATACCTGTGGTCACTTTGTTCTGGTCACTTCCTTTCCTTCAGACTCTTTCTTTTACCATGGTCTGTGTCTATGCTGCCTGCCTTGCAAACCACTGTGCATGAACTATGTATACTGCTTGCATTGCCAGTACTACACTGTGGAACACACTGCAAATGCCACAAAACACTACCACTACAAAGTGCTGAGTCCTGCCTTCTAGTTTCAACAGTCCAGAATCCTTTGAGACAAGCAATTCATTCCCTTCATTTTATTGTTGTTATCTAAATCAACTAGCTCATGTTATACAACTACTTGGATTTTCCTTACACCACACTAGACCAACTGAGGGTAGAGGTTTGGCAAGGCTGAGGCCAGACTGGGTGAATGTGAGGCTGAGTCTGGCCAGGGTCAAGACATGGCTATGACATCAGGTATGACTTCATACTACATATATAGCAACATAATTTAACTACTTGAGTCACCATTCCCTGTCCTCCTGGTGCATCAATTATGATAATTGCAGCATAACTGTGATGCAATACTGCCTAACTCCCTCCTACCAGTAGTGATGCATCAATGTACTAGTAATGCAGATCTGAGATCTCCCCCCCCCCCCCCTTAGGAGTTTCATTTCCACAAATCCCCACAGGTAATTTTCATTACTCCTCTGCATTTTATGTGATTACATAAGCATAAAACACTGTAGGGAGTTGTATACTCCCTGAGGCTGAAGCAGGATACCATCAGTTAATTCCACCACCTCTAAGGCAAGCCCCTATCAGTGTTACCCAGTTTGTTGCCTTTGGAATTCTCTCTGCTTGTCACCACATGTATTCTCCTATCCCCTGTCAGCTTCAGAATTTCCCCTGGCCATCAACATGCCATCCAGAGCCATCAGAACATTGATCTCCAATTCTGCAATTGTGTCACCCTAGCCACTGCCCCACCATGTTACCAGTCAGTCTTGTCAGATGTCAGTAAAAAACTCTGGTTACCCCTGTTGCCCCAAATTCTGCAAACCTTACTTCACATTCATATGCTCTTCCCTTCAGCACCACTGCCTCTCCCTACAAACTTTGCCTTTTGCATCTCACACTGTAGTATGCAATACCCTCATCCTGTGGAAGATGCCCATCCTTCCCTTTGCCTCCCTTGTTTACTACTTACCAGTCCAATTTCATATGTTCCTGTACTTCATTGATGTCTGACATGTCCACCTTTATTTTCTGGGATTTTAGTTTACCCACCCCACCTTATTCTGACTAATACCTATACCCCATGTACTATATAATTCCATCTTGATGTTGGAATATTTGTGAGTCTAAGAGTTCCCAGAGTCTAAAGAATCTATTTCCTCTACAGTGTCTACAGCATCCTCAGTGCTTCCTGCATCTTCTGCATTCACAAGTCCCTACTTGCATAACCCTCATCTCAGAAATACTGCCAACAAGTCAAGAACACTGTTTGGAATTTCATATACCCAGCTTCTCTGTGTCTCATGCACTTACTGCCCCCCAGAATTAAATTCTGCAACTTACACCTGACTACCTACTTGCCTCTACAGTCATATTCTATTCCCTTTCCCACTCAGCACTCCTTGGGACAAGCCTAGAGGATTCCTTTCAGCTTTCCCCTTAGTCACATGCTTCCCAGAAGTTGTGTCACACAATGCACAGCCACTATTCCCAAAACATGTCCTCACTTTGCATGTGCCTGATATCCAACATTCCCACACACTGCCCTCATTGCCCTCAGCCTCCCCTTCCTTCCTGGGCTCTATCCCTGCCCTGTGGGCATTGCATATGATAGTTAAATGTACTATAATTGTATTAGACCATAAATAAATGCTTTTCTGCCCATCCTAATGGGCATAAATGGTTGGAAAGTGTGATGGGGGGAAAACTGACAAAGTTGACACCTTTTTGATATATTGGACATATCTATCTAGTTATTATGTCCCTTTAAAGGGGCCATGTGTGCCTACAACATATCAAAAGTTCATAGGCTGGGATGGGGTGCTCCAAGTGTAGTGGCACAATTGCCTCCTCCCTGTGTTACAACCTGGAAATATTTTTCTGTGCTTTGTGGCACTGGTAATGTAGTTGGACATGGTGTAGTAGTTGAGTTTACAAAGGAAATATCATCTATATATTATACAATAACATGGTAGTGTAGCTGTGCAATGTAATAACGCGGTCGAATGGGCGCGGTGGTGTGGCGGTGCGGCTGCAAAAGGTAATGACGCGGTTGAATGGGCGCGGTAGTGTGGCAGTGCGGCCGCGAAAAATAAATGTGCAGATTTTACGCCATATTCGACTCCCTCATGCTCGCATTGAACAGAACGTCGACGCCAAGTCTACGAATATTTTCGCTATGCAGTGGGAGCTGTAGTACCTTGCAGAAGAGTCGGATCATCCGGTTTTGTAACTCGTGGACGGAGACCCCAGTCATTGATCGAGTTCACTTTGAATCAGCAGTAAGGATTCAGCTTTACCTCACGGTTGGCTTGTGCATTTCACAACACAATTCCACGTTTCGACGAGCTTGCGCGCTGCTTCGGTCGTGCAACGATTCGATGACAATTAATGCAGGCCTTCTTGGTTTGTTGTCCGATTTCAAAAATTTCCACCAACAATGTCAACGACAAGACTATCGTCGCCACGCATGCTACAGGGCAAACAAGTTGGGCACCGGGGATTCGGCGATGACGTTCAAAGTACTATGCGCTTTAAATTGCTTCCAGAGGTGAGAACGACGGCGGGGATTTTATTGCAGAAATTATATGCTCAACAATTACTTATCGTTCATTTCTAGAGGCGCCCGGAGGTAAACCACGCATTGATACACAGGACGATCATGTTCGCATCTCTTCTCCCTCTCGGCACTTCACACACGCCTGGCGTGCTGCCATCGCACAGGTGTCCTATTCAAGTAATATCTGCTCTCCCCGCGGATTTACTTGGGCTGACGGGGTCATTTCTCCTCTGGTCTTCTAGCCTCATGAGTTTTTGCTTGTCGCCGGCGGAACGGTTTTCGCACCCTGTCACCACACAACTCACGAAAACTGGTCGATTGACTTGCCGTTCCTGATGACACTAGGTAAGTGAACCCTACCGTCAAGCCAAAGCGGAACTCGTTCATTCTCCATCTTGACCGATGTAGCTTAGCACCAATATAATATAATTTTCCAGTGTTTTGGCAGAGAAGACGATCTCTTATCGGGATTCAAGTCCTTCGTCAAAGTTTGCAGAGCTCTGCGAATGAACTGCAAGGTTAGACTGAGTCCAGCCTTTACTTCATTAACGGTGCCCTTCTCGTCGGGTCCTTGGTGCTCTCACCAGCGTGACACCCAACTGGAACTAGGTTGCTGGGCAGCTATGACTTACGTTGTTCATGTCCGTGGAATCGGAGTGAGATTTCCACCTCATCTGGTCCTGACCTATTGGTTTGCTAATTGTAACGATATCAATCACAGTTGATAGGACCAATAACAAACACACACATGTAAGGTCTGCCATAGGGTCATGCCCCAATAAAGAGTCCGATTTTATAAAATGGAGGACATCGGACCCTGGGTGAGGCCACCTCGTTGCATGATGTGGACAGTGGATGTGGGACGACGAGATGAGTACTAACGTGACAAAGAAATGGCGGCAGAAGCCCAAACACCACTGAATCGCCCCCAACTCCAAACGTGATATCGTCCCTAGCCCAATGGGTACATGTCAAATGGGTAGTATCTCTGCCAAGGAAATGACACGCGCATGTGGTTTGAAATTTGATGGCTGGTCTTCGGACGGTTGAGAAGTGAAGCTGCGACCGAGGAGAAGAACTTCCGAGTCGGTATGTGACGAGCAGGCGTTGCGGTCGGTTTACCAGGCAGTTCGTAAAACTTCGACGACCTCTAGATGGAGTATGATGTTTCCTCTGCAGTGCCGGGTGCAGAAGCCAGCTGGCCCTTCGACGATCCCAACGCCGAAGTGATCCTTCGGTCCTCGGATAATGTCCATTTTAGAGTCTTCAAAGGCAGCCTTGCACTCGCATCTCCTGTCTTCAAGGACATGTTCACTCTCGGAGCCTCAGTCCATGGTGAACGCCCATTGAACCCTTACTCGTTACCCATCATTCCTCTCAGAAACAGGAACCGTGTTGGACATGTTGCTCAGACTCATCTATCCTCTGACAACCCCCGAACTCGACTCTGTTGACGACATAAAGACTCTCGTTGCTACTGTCGTCAAGTACGATTTGATAGAACCAGCCGTCCATCATGCCACAGACCTGATACCTCGCAAACATTTGCAATCAAGCCCAGTTTCTCTTTATGCCGTCGCATGTTAATACGGTTGGAGGAACCTTGCAGAAAAGGCTGTGCGGGAAACGTTGAAGATCAAGGATTTTGGCCGGCCAGGCGGTTATGTAGCTGAACTTGAGGACATCACAGCGGGCGACGACCTCCGACTTCTGGAGTATCACTCTGCCTGTGCAACTGCTGCGCATGAGATCGACTTTCAAACGGAATTTGAGGACAACTTTCAACCAGAACTTAGAGACGAGATTGAAGACATGCCACAAATCATCTGCCGCTGTCCAAAGGATGTATCAGGTCATGAGTGGTTCCATGATTACTTGACTGCCACACGCGAGGCTCTACTCCATCGACCCGATCCATCAACTGTCGAGAATCTGGATTTTCTTTGAAAGGTCAATTATCCTACCATATGTTCAAGAGCGACTTTGCATCTCAGTCGGGTTTCTGAGATATTTGCTGAGGCAGTGAAGGGCACCATTTCCAATGTAAGTGTGACGTTTCATATGGTTCGAAGGTGATTCTAGAGCATTCACTCGAACTTGCATGCAAGGTAAAACTGGACTTTAAGTATTGAAGACCACTCTCCGATCGCGAGAGTCGCTGCATCACGGAGCTGGGACACTGGGCGAGGGCAGTTTTTCGATGCTACGCAATTCTCAACTACGCACTTGCTCCAGAGACGAGGAATAGTGATTTTAACATTACGAAGTCAGTCAGTTCGTCGCTTCGTCCACCGAATAGTGACTTCAGCTGAAAAACAGTCAGTTTTTCATATATATTGTCCTGTCGCCTTAGGTTGCAGTCCAGCGGCGGTGTAGTTGAACGCACCGTCCGCATTTTTGTAGCAACCGCCTTTGGATGCAGCAGGCGTGGAATAGCATGACTTCCCACCTTCTTGTATGGTTTCGCATTGGCCAGCCGGCCAACATTCCTCGTAGACAGAAATTTAGTTTGTTACACTCTCCACTCGACCGCAACGTTGTAACATGCACAGATTTGTGCAACTGACGTTCTGCTTGACATGGTGCCCACAGTTCAGATGAAATTCTCCTGCTCACCTTCAGAGCCTCAGCCGTCTCCCCTCGCATGTATTCACTGCCTGCGAGGACAACTCTATTCTTGTGAGCTCGACCAATGTCTTCTTGATATTCGACTCTCATTTATTGCTTACTGTCGGAATTCCAGGATGCAGCAGCACGCTGGAAGTAATAACCTCTAATTTCCCGTGGACCATCCCTGACTTTAACTCATCTGCAGACGTAAACATTCTCCTGCACGTCCGTACCTAAATGACCTCGAGACCCTTTGCAAAAACCAGGGGGTAGGATGTGGTTGAAGGTTCATGTGTTGATCGTACCCCTCATAGGTCGAACCAGGGATTGTGATCCGGTCATTCATTCACAATCATCTGATTCCGAGTCGTGGCACTGCAAGCGCACTCCCATCCGGGAGTTAGAAAACGAGCGACCACATGCGGGATCGCACGAAGAACCCATCAATACCTGATATTGCAGACATCCCCCCGTCCTCTCCCATGCTACTGTGACCAACATACGCCCACGCAACACCTTGCGAGGCGCGATACTCGGCAATTACGAAATACCTACTCGCGTTACTATCACCCGCCTATGATGGGACGAGGTGGAGCGAGGTAGGCCCTCAATCACCTAAGTTTGTCATGTATCCTACGGCACGACGCCCATCCCAATGGCACCCACAAGCAAGCTTCCCAAGGCCACACACTGTCTCCTCCACCCACTTCTCCAGAGCGTCGGGTCCATGACGAAGTCCGCAGCGAGCATCTCGACGCACGCAGCGTAGATGAGCATACCGGCAGATATGGCGGACATAAGGCCTTGTATGAGGCGCATGTGAGCTACGTCGCATCGTGTGGTGAGTACGCGAGGTGGAAAGTACGAAGGCAAGTGGAGATCAGACGTACCGGAATCACCCCCAATCCCAAACAGGATCATCCCCAACCCAATACCCACAGGCGTCGCCACTGCAAACGAACATGCCAGGGTCGGTTTTAAGATATCGATAAAATCCCATTCTCTATTCTTTGTATTGCGTGGGTGCGCCGTGAAACCGAGTTCGACGTTGATATCGCGAAGCGTTGGGCTCATTGAACGGCCGTGTCCTTCGCCTTCGGTGTTGGGAAGCGCGCCGGAAGATGAGGATGACGGGAGCGATGCAATGCGAATGCCGAGCGACAGGCCTTCGAAGAGTTGATGGAAGATGACAGCTACAAGGAGCGATGCTGCGGAAGAAGACAGTGCCGGTGAGTGCGCGCATGATAGGATATGATGCAAAAAAAGCTTCTACCAAAATCGGATCCGGTCTTGATTGCGAGAGTGAGCCCAATGACGAACGAGTGGATCATAATCCCGAATTGCAATACCTGTATGTTCAATTTTGTCGTGTCAGCCATGGTGGGTTTCACGCAGAGACACGCACGAGTATCCCAACTATCTGTCTCTTCTTCCCAATCCTGAGCTCGTTCCCGACGTCACTATGACGATGTTGGTGCGTGTGCTCGATATCGTGACGATGTGTCCCTCCAACGTCAAGTGTCATTCCCGGTCCAAATTCGTCAGGACCATAAAAATAAGGCAACCGTGGCCCTCGCTCATGGTGTGCCGAGTGGGCCGTACGTGGCTCGTGTCTATGGTGGCCCTCGATTATGGTGGGCACACCCTGAGTTGCTCCGTCAAGCTGTCGAGCGTGCTGGGCAGTATGCGTGCTTACGCTAGAAGTCGGTAGCACATGACCGTCACGGTACGTTGCATGCGGGTTACCGTCGGCTTGTGAAGTCGTTGCGCCGTAATTTGAGGAATGGCGCTGTGGATGCGAGTGTGAGCATTGATATTGTTGAGGGTGCGATGGAGTTTGCAAATCTGTCCGCGTCCCGTCCTGTTGGGCGCTGTCTGTAGACGTGTTGAGCTGGGTGACCAAAGTCGAGATAGGTTTGTGATTGTTATCGTTATCATAACAGTGACGATCTGCTCTGGGATTCAGTAGAGGCTGGTGTTCCCGGTCGTGATTCTGTACGTTGTTTATAAGTTTGACAGGTGTTTGTGAGCATCCTGACGCCTCTTCTTGATCACTTTCATCGTTCCGGGAGTGCGAGAGGTTGCGAGGGGTGGACCCTGGCGTGACGGTGGGTGAACTATATGATTGGAGACGGTCCACATACGCCGTGGACGTATCTTGTGGTGCTAAGTCAGAGGAAACGACCAAAAGAAGAACGGACGTACATTCGATCAAAAAGATGAACAACAGGGACCCTAATCTAAGCAACAACACGTCAGTCATGTCATGACGATGCGATCTCCTCCGGTTTATCGACGTACACTATCAAGCCTGTATGTTTGCCTATCTTCCATTGTGCGCGTACGATGGGATCTCTCAGCGCCTCGAAGGCGTCTTGCAGAAGATGGGTAAACGCGGTAGATAATATGACGCCTACGTCATGTGATGAATAAGCGAGGGTGAACTCACACGTAACGGAGATGAGGACGGAGATGAGAAGGGACTGTAAAGGTACCCATCCACTCACCCGTTCCGAAGTGCTTGCCAATGAAGAACACGATGGGAGGTATACGGAGGAACGAGATACGTTTGGAGAGTGTGGGAAAGGATGCGGCTGGTGTGCGCCACGAGCATCAGTGACTCGGGGCGGCTGTGGGTCTCAGGAATCATGGACATACCACATAGAGAGACAAGAAAGACCGCAAGGATGGTCAGAGAGTATGTCCGGAGCTCTCGCATAGTCTCTGCTGTGTCAGAGAATGTAGGCAGCGGCGCCTGTCGTAACGCTGATTGTAGATACACATTAGTGCACAGTTGGTACAAATCGGCTGGACTGACTGGACGGAGACGATGACCACGTTGACATTTCGTCTTGGAGGACGAAGATAGAGTACGACAAGTCACTTGGACAATTTTTTGGCCTCAAGTTAATAAAATAATGCCGCAGAATGAAATAGACGCTTGCCGGTGTCAGGCCTCACTGGACTGCGAGGGGTCGAGGGGTGCGGAGTGGGTACCACTCCAGTCACACGTGACCTCTGGCGGGCAGTGTGGCGGCCCTGGACGAGTGTAGTTTCAACTGGCCACAGACCACTTTGGATTCACCTGATCACTCCACAACACACGAGTCAGATGCTGCGGACACAGCAGATTCATTGTAGCTTTCCTGATACCACTGCTAGTGCACAACCTTTGTCACTGTTCCCTTGTTTTTGTCTCACGTCCGCCGCGGTGTCGCAGTGCATACTCATTCCAAGCTCGTCTAACAGCATGTATAATGCCGCTCGCCACGTAGCATTCTCTGAATCTAACTATACGACCCTCGAATACTTCTTATAATCATATGAATACCAGTAGTCAACAATCATTTTTGCAGATACAATTCTCAAGGGACATACATGTCCACACGAGAAATGCATCACGAAGTTCTATTCAGAAGAGGTTGCCCAAATCCTTATTACAGAATCGTGATGGACCCTAACAGTCGGGGCGTTGATTTTTCAATGAAATCAGTTGAGGTATGGCTGACTGTAACCCTCTGGTAGGAGTTCCGGGGCGCACAAAGTGCCCCGCTCACTAACAATATGACCTTAACGGTCGCTAGTGAGGTGAGGGTCGCGAAATGACTCACATTCGGTCAATTGCAATCAGCAGATCATAATTAATCTCCTGGCTGACAACCGAATCAAACTTGTACGCCGGATGCGACCTTACAAAGCTTCGTATCCATGTAGCGGGCGTTTGCAATGTACCTTTGTAGACATCAGCCATCACTAGGACCAATCTAACAGATGGCCACCGACCATCGGCACGACCACGAACGAGATCAAGATATTTGTCAATTCTCTTTCTTTCAACTGGAGTCAGTTCCAATGTCCCGAGATAAGCATCCACAAGTTCCAGCAACCCTGGGAACGTAGGCCCCTAAACCAAGTCAACGCCTTCCCGCCCCATGGATGGTCGGCCAAAGAATACCTTTCCACAAAAAATATCTTTGATAGACATCTCCTCATATTCATCTTCAACCGAGCCATCGTCAGTGGTCGGAGGACGTGCGAGCGTTGGGAAGCAGTTCCTTAGTTTTCGTTCTTTCGTTTGTGTGGCCATACCACAATCACCGCATTCACTAGGGGTAGATGACCCGGATGGAGATAAGCCGGTAGGTGGAATGGCATATCCCTGTGGAACTACGTTTTTGCGGAAGAAAAAATTTTGGGTACGCGTTGCATCTCGCTTCTGAGCCCTCTGCATGTTCTCGTCTACCTAAGCACTTGTCAGTTGTACAAAACCTAGGCAAAACCTGGAGTCATACCTTCGAAATAGGAACATAGAAATTTAATTTGAAAGCTAATATGGCCCTGGAAAGCAGAACGATGAACACCGCGAATGCAGCATTTTCAAAATCCGTCATTTGTACTTCCATGGTGCGAAACTCGACACGCCAGCCCATGGAAGAGCCAGGAGGAGGGGGTTTAAGTCGGAGACTTTGCCAATTCGTGGAATGTATATTCTTCAAGGGGCTTTAATGTGACGCTAGGACTAATGAAGGGTCAATCACCTCGAAATGGTCAACGCTAGAACTATCATCTTGGTGAATCGTTTCAGAGAATATGATGAGTGGATCACAGATAAACAGATGTGCGATATGCTTTGAAAGCATTTCGTCGACACCTTCCGCTTGACTTCAAAAGACGCCCAAGAGAAACTGAAGCATGACTACACACCATGACTGAGCAAGCGATTTTTAATAGCCTCATCATAGGGTACAACAGTGTCATTATACGCTGGCTTATTGGCCCATTCGGAAGAAATGTATAGGGAAACGTTGTCGTATCGGGATTTAGGAATGATATATCTGCTGTTCTTCAACGGCTGAATGGCGTAAGCAAACCGACAGAACATAAAAATGTTCGTCCACCTCAAGTCCCCGTTCTTCCCGTGTTCGGTCATCCATGATCCCCACAATAGCGTTCCAGCGGCAGTCCACATCCGCAAGATACCCGCGCCAAATCGGGCTGGCTGCTGTGAGTGCTAGCTATGTAAAAACACAGGTGTTGGAACATATCCCAGAATTATCGGTTTCCATACCATAAGGGGGCCAATCGGAATCAGGGCATCGTACATCCGCCGTGCTCCGTTCACGCTACAACACTGGAATGTAAGCTGCAAACAACAGCAACCTGCGCCAAACCCCATTGCGTCCACATATATGTGGTCTATCAAGGCTGCGCCATTCTTAGCTTCTGCAGAAGGGTAAGTAACCCTTAATGACCCGAAAGAGGATCTTACCAGAATCCTCTGGGTATATGTCACGTTGCCATGGTATGGTAGGATCAACAAAAGGCCGTGGTGTTCTTTCATCCTTAAATATTGGGAGATTGGCGACAACCTTGGATCCCCTTCGATTTCTTATGTTGACAGCGAGGGTGCTGCTCGGAGAATAAGGTACAAGAAAGTGATATCACAAAGAATACTGACGAGAATCGTGCGTGAGGGTGCGCGATCTCTTCAGGTAAAAATAGACTGCGACTGGACTTTGCATCTTTCGGGTCATAATGTGGTTCTGTGAACACGTCAACAGTACCCAAACGTGGGAACGATGTCAGAGTGAGCAGGATTTCGTTTTTCCTCAGATGATTTCGCGCCAGCGTGCGTCTTGTATTCCCTGGCCTCAGCGACATAGGACGATTGGAGTTGCGCAGGACGTACCTGTAGCGCATGTTTGTTTCCATTGAGAGGAGGCCTGCAATCGAACCCGCATAAGGGGAGCCAGGAGTAGACTCCAGCATAAACCTCCCATACTCAGGGTGAAATTTAGCTACAGGTGTACTGGAGAAGACATGAGCAATGCGTTCAAGCAATGCATACTGGCGCTTACGATGGAGAGGTGTCGTTAGAAAGTGTTCCGACAATTTTACCGAGTTCTTCCAGAGTTTCTGCTTGGCGAAGGGAAACCTTTGCTTCCTTCTTTTCATCATCGACCACAACCACCATATACTCGACCTTACGAACAAATCCATGAATGCCAGTGCGAGTGAGCGCAGCGAACGGCATAAATTACCTCGTCGCCCCACAAAAGTTCATCGCCAGTACGATCTTTCACCCTGTGCCAGGTATAAAGGAATTGAGTGATTCCATGGTCTCTGACATGATCTGCGTGATCCTTTGTCTCTTCCCAGGCAAGTGGCGTCCCGAGGCAGAGCAGACCCATCTTGCGCGAGTGATAGCAGCGGTGACAGCGCTTCAAGTTGTTAGCCGAATTTCAGCAGTATTCCTTCGTAGCGGTGAGTATGGATCGGCGACTGACCGTGGCAGCGATGGTGGATGGGTAGGAAACGCGTGCTTTTATGTACAACAGCTGGGGGGTCATACTGCGGTCGTGATAGTGCACTTTAACATTCAATATGAACTTCGGGACGACCTATCGCCGGGCGCACCAAGATACCCAAAAAATATACAATGATAATGCACGACACGGTGCACCTCGAGGCCGTTATGACATCATCAGACGGCTACAATAGTATATGGGAACCAGGCAGGTAAGTTACCGTCAACTCACCAGCATTGTTTGGTAGTCGAGAGGAGGGAACGATTGTCTTCCTTTGGGTCTTTGGTTCCTCACTCCGCCAACCGAATACCGTGACTTACGTAACCGATGACAGGAAGTGCAAAGTCACGAAGCAGGGGAGGATTCCCATATGCAGCATGACCGGTCATGACCAATCGCTCTTTTTTTTTTTGTGAAAAAAAAGGGCGAGATTCACTCAAAACATGTCAACTTAAGCAAGTCCAGTCCAAGGTTGGACAGATCCCATAGATAACCCCTCAATATGACGCTGCATCTGTAACATTAAACAAACAAAAATAAAACAGCTGATTGTGCAACTTTTGCAGTAATGCGCAGAAAATTTGCAGGTGGCTGTGCCCACAGCCACTGACTAAGCAGGGTACGTGCACGGGGAAGCGAGCGAGTCAGGGCTACACGCACTCCTCGCCCGTTCCTCGGGACTCGTTTTGATGCTGCTACTAGCCACTGTACATAATCCATGTAATACTGTAATGGGAATTTTGCCAAGAAACGGGCCCAAATTCGCTAGGCCAGTGATGTTGTGGCGCAAAGTGTGGTCACATGAACACACCCTCGTAGGCGCAGGTGGCAATTCGCAGGCGGCGATGCCAGTGGGAATTTTCCCGAAGGAGCAATCCCGCCACCAGGCGGAGGGGCAGGGGAAGGGGGTCGAGCGTTCGAGCAGGGCCTGTGGGGCATCACGACCTCGTGGATTGGGCGGGATGACCGGGGAGGGTGTCGACGAACTGTGTTCACGTCCTGCCTACGTTTATCTATTTTATCTGCCCTCCTAGCTAGTGCAAAGTGGTGCAAAATGGCTGTGTTAAAAATTATGCAGGGGTAGTATAAAAAGTTGCGCAGGAACAGTACTGCAAAAGTCGCGCAATCAGCTGTCTTATTTTTCTTTGTTTAATGTTACAGATGCAGCGTCATAGCTCAACGAATATGGGTGTGTATAACTATGGTAAGGACCCAACAAGCCGACCTGACTTCTTTCAGACCATTCAATGGTCTGAAAAAAGAGTATGAATGTGACGCTAGAACCTTAGATGGCAATCACACTGTGGCACGTTCCAGTTACACGTGACCTCAGTAGGGCGGGCACCAAGTCTTGGAATCACTTTCGCCAATTGTGACAAGGATTTAATTTCTATTTTCGCAAATGCTCCAGAGGTTCTTCCTCTGTAGTAATTCTCGGCGGAAGAACTTCGCAGTGGAGAGTTACTGTCTCAGCCCAGCTTGAAATAGGACCCCATCACCGGTATCTTGTATATACTAGATTTGCTCCTATTCAGCTTGACGGGGTGCAAATCGCCCTTGCACGACTTACATATTTATAATGACCTCTCCGCAACAACCTCATAAGGGTCGATGGCACTGGAAGTCGGGTGCGTGAGTGACAGTCGGATCTGTCTTCACGTACAGGGCGGGCCATCTCTCAGTGACTCAGTCCATCCAACCCTCCGACAGAGTGGAAGGAACCCACAAAGCCCTCGTAGCACCCAGTCGTCCGCAGTTCAGAATTTCTAGCGAGAGATATATGGGTGCGTCAGGCACTAACGCCAGCGTCTCTAGGCAGTTCAGTATGCACAATAACATTGGAGCTACTGGCAGGTTGACCTCACGTTGTTTACTGGCTATTCCCTGTCATTGTTGTCTTGTACGGAATAAAATCGCAACGCAGGTGACACCGGCTTTGGAACGTGAGTCGTCCTCCGAGATTCTTCTAGTGGTTACCGGCACCTCAAGCGGTGGTATGACACAAGAAAATGGGGAGTGCTGATCCGTATTCTGCAAACGTCGACACGTTTGCCACTCGGTTTTGGAAGACCTGGGATTACTAAGATCGACAAAGTGAAACCGGTTGTCTGCTGCTACATGTGCATGGTCCTGGCGATCAAGACCTAAATTCCAATTCTACCTATGGCTCCGTAATGATCGCCAAAGGCTAGGCTCCAAACGGACAGGCTAACTCACTGTGGGTACGTTCGTCGATATAAAGCCATTCTTTGGTAGACGTTCTTCGAATTGTAGACGGGTGTGGCCGAGTCAACAGTCTGCTACGACAGGCTTTCACATACTTCTTCCCAAGCCATCGGCGATGCTCGTTCCACGCGCATATATCCCTGTCCCCAGGGCACCCGGCCGGTGGGAACGATGCGGAATCGAACTTCAGCTCGCTAGCAATGACACCACATGCATGATGATACTCCAGCAGTCTGTAAAATGCAGCTGCCGGCAAGGTCTCCAACTCCTTGACGTATCCTCCCCGACCTGGCTGCCCTAAATCCCTAATCTTCAACGCTGCCCATGCTGCCTTTCTCGCAGGATCGCACCACCCATGTTCGCATGCGACTGCATACAAGGAAACGATGTGATCCTTCAGAAACTTGTCTGCGACCAGTTCCTTGGCACGGTCAGCGATTGTTGGGATCATGTTGTACTTGGCAACTGCAGCGAGGAACAGTTCAGCGTCATCGAAAGAAGAAAAAGGCGGATTCGGGTAAATTGCGCCTGGATAGACCAGCCTGAGTAGCGAGTCTATCGTCGTGACGTTTTCCAACACAGTAATGGCAGGGATAGATATAGGGTCTGCATAAAATTCGAATTTAAGGCCTCCAGGAGCAAGCAAATCTTCGAAGACGGAAGACGTGAGTGAAAGCATGCATTTGAAGATTCGAAAGTCGACTTTATCAGCAGTTCGGATGATCATGCCGGCATCAGGATTATTGAATGGCTCTTTGGCTGTCAGGTGGTATGCAAGTTCAGGTTCCATAGAGTTACCAGAGATGTGGGTGCAGTGGAGAGTGTTGTCGCAAAAAGTTAAGTGCCATAACAATCCCGGCGGCTTGTCATGTGACTGAGATGCCTAATTCAATGGTATACCAATGGCAACATAATGATGTCCTAGACTGACTTATTATGTTAATGCCACAACAATACTCCATTAGGTATTAGAATGTGCACCTTAAGCCCAACAAATCATTGCAAGTGCATATCACATGATTGCTATCAATTAGATTCAACCATCAATTACATAATATTACTGGTTGTGACACTGAGACCTCATTCTCTTCACCTGTGTCCTCTCCACCACGCTGCTCCATCGAAACTACCAGCAATCAAAAGAATCTTCTACTAAGCAACCTTGCAGGTACTGTGGGAACCTCTACCTGCCACAAGGGATCAAAAGGCATGAAGGAAGCTGTGTGAAGGAGCTCCAGAACCATGAAGAATGGGTCAAACACAATAAGGTGCACATATGGGATGTTCATCAGAGTGAGGTGATCATTGTTATGAAATCCTCTCAACTGCCTGTTAGCTTACAATGGTTGCCTACTAGCCAATATTGCTAAGGAAGCAGCTGCTGCAACATCCTCATCATCAGTGCACCCTTGTGTTGCTGGGTCTTCAGGTCCTGACTCTGCCATAGCTATGATACCAGTGCCACTCAGACAGCTGTCAGTAATAGTAGGCCCTTCACAATTTATTCCTGGTATGTAAACCACTAGTATGGCTCTCACCAACACTTACATGTTACTGGACAGGATCACCAACTAGTTTTGCTCCTGATGAAGATGATGTATTGATGGGCATGGTGGACCCTTGTGGTAGGGGTATGTCAGACTCAGGTAGGTTCAGAGCATATGTGTCATCAGCTGGCATTTGAACTAATCTTTTGTTGCCTATATGATTGTAGACTCTGACATGTCAATAACAGCCTATGTGATGGGTCACTTGGTGAACTCTGCTGCACCAGATGCTGCAAATGACCATCCTCCTGACTTCAAGGCTGAATTTCATCCCCATAGTAAGTGCTTGACCCTTTTCCAATCCACTGAAGAGTTCAGCCAGCAAAACCTCAAATGCATGCCCCCAGACCATGAGCCCTAGTGCCCTTTTGCCTCGGAGGGTGATTACATCTTTGCCTTGATTGCTGTGGAAGCTGGGCTCAGCTCAAATCAAGTTGACTCCCTTCTCAAGTTGGTTCACTGTATAAGTCAAGGAACTGCAAGTGTTATGCTACACAATGATGCTGGGCTATGTACTGCTTTGGATAGAGCAGTGGTGCAGTTAACACTGGTAAACTCTTTGTTACTGGTGTGCTTTTGATGTTTGGCTCACTTCCCAGTCATTTGTTAGTTCTCCAAGTTCGAAATTACCACACCCTATAAGGGCAATGACATGACATTCCCCATCCATATTCACCCTCTGTGGGACTGGGCCCTCAACCTCTTGCAAAATTCCTCCCTTGCACCACACTTCATCTGGGATGCCCAATGGCTCTTCAAACATGATGGTGAGAGATATGAGTGCTTCTACACAGAACCTTGGACAGGCAATCATTGGTGGGATATTCAAGTATGTTGTAATTAATGTTATCTCATACCACCATGCTTTGTAAATTTACTATCTGCTGTTTTGTGTTGTGCCAATAAAGTCACAGTTACCCAGTCATGTGGATAATGCAGTCCCATTTGCATTTATAATTTATGCTGACAAGATGTGACTATCATCCCATGGTACTGTCAAGGGTTACCCTGTCATAGCATGTTGTGCAAACCTCCCAGTTCATGTTTGCAATGGTGAGCAATATGGTAGTGGCTGCATCATTGGCTGGCTTCTGATTGTGAGTACCATGCCTTTGTTTTTGAGCAATAGTGAATAGATCTAATGGGTTTTACAGGTTCCTGAGCTTGCAAAAGAAGAGGGGAAGACTGGCTATGCAAACTTCGAACATGTTGTCTAGCATACAGCATTTTTTCAGCTCCTTGAGAAGGTTGTGGAGCTCTCAAAGGTTGGTTATCTTCATGAATGCTATAACAAGGTTCTCCACTGGCTCTTCCCACTTGTCCTTATCCTGTCTGCTGACTATGAAGAACTGTAGGTACTAACTTCTCTGTGACCTGATTGTACTTACCAAGCCTTCCTAGCTGTGTGATGACCCTTATATGAGGCATGAGGTACAAGTGCCCTTGCCTGTTTTGTCTGGTCCCCTTGGAGCAGCTTTGGGATCTAAAGAAGACATATGAAATGCATACTACTGAGAAACACAAAAGAGCACTGGCATTATTCAAGGAGAAGAAGACAGTTGGTAAGAAGAAATTGAAGTCCCTCAGGTTATGTCCTGTCAAGGTAGGTCTTTGACACATGTACTATGTTTATGACTGACTGAATGTAATGATAGAACACTTTCTGGTCAGTAGAACATTCAGAGCCTGAACAGGTTGCCAGTTTTGAGCCACTTCACTCCCTGCATGGTGGCATGGGAGGCAAGCACATCCATGGGGAACTCAGGATTGTCATCAGTGAGCTTGGCTGTGATTCAGAGACATGTTTAGAAGCACAGTAAGAATCTACTTAGTCTGTGGAATGGGCTAACTGTCATGCAGAGTTTCTGCCTTTCCCTGTTGGCAAGGCCTTGCACATTTTGATACAGTGATTCACATCATGTTTTCTGATGGAAATAAAATGCAAGATCTCACCAGGGTAAGTCAATTAGGACATGTTTAAATGTAGTTTGATGGCTAACAATCTCTCTGGTATAGCAATGTTTCTATGCCTCCCTCAACATTTTGATGCCAATGATGTCTTGAGTTGGGTATCAGTTACTTTGTATGATCAGTAGCTACCTGCAACTTGATACCCTCATTGGACTTGATGTACACACCAAGAAGACTCTTGGTATGATCAAAGATGAACTTCTTGTCTTCAGGGCATGAACTAAAGGTATTCTGTTCATCCAACTGTCTATTATCATGTAATGATTTTCTATAACAGTTGTACTGATCCTTCATTTGTTGTTTGGATGATACAGATCTGAAGGATAATTGGAACTTTCTGAAGGCACATCTCTGGAAGCACATTACCCATGACATTTGAAGCAAAGGTGTTGTTTGTAACTACAGTGCCTGGCCTGCTCAAAGATGCATACCAGGATTGCTCAAATGGAAAGGATATTGTGGGGCAGGTACAATTTAAGTTCCTCTCACTTAGGCATTTGACTCATGATTTGTCACTCAGATTCTCTGTGTTGACCACCACCAACTTGCAACCAAACTCATTCAGGCATGCATTGATGCAGAAAATGAGCATGTTCGCAATGCTACCAACAATGATGAGGACCACAACACAGTACTCAAAGGGAATGCCAAGCTTGGCACACCCCAGCAGACTTGCTCACTCTCTGATGTTGAGAACACTAACCAAAATAACTGGGCATTTGATGGATTCTGTCAGAAGCTAGAAACTTTCCTCAACACTTGCCTCCCAACTTATGGGTGCCCCCTCAACAAGTGGACACAATTACAAGGAACACATACAGTATGTCCTCTTCCCTTTATATACAGACTTATCCACATTCCTCCAAAGATCCAGGAGTGTCAATATTTGAAGGTCCAGTATGCTTCAATGGTGGACTGGGAGGTTCGCTGTGAACTACCTCCAATGTAATCCAAGTTTCTATGGTCAGCCATGATATGATTGTGCCCTCATTCAGCTTTCAGAGACCAAGACTGCTTTCATTCAACTCATATTCATGTTCACTTGTAAGGTTGCAGTGTTTGAAGACACTTTTCAGTTTGCCCTTGTTCAGCTGCTCACTGCTGGGACTGGAGTGTGCAGGTTGGACCAAGATCTTCAACTTGATTGAGTCAAAGCTGTATCTTGTGCAGTGTCAATATTCATTCCCATGAAGTTGATCATTTGAGGTGCATTGCTTTACCTGGATCCAAGCCACCATGGCAAGTTTTTGGTTGTTGAACACACTGATGGAGACATGTTCCATCGCATGAGGGAATGGATTCAGACCTGGCCACAAGCATGGTTGCCAACTGAACAGCCTTCAAGTTCTGACTCTGATTAAATGCCAGCTGAAATACATAGCAATACTTCAGGTAAGTGATCCTCATTGTCATGCATTACTTCATTGAAACTGATGTAATTCTATACTATCATAGGGTCAGAGCAATTAGATGATCTTGGAGGGTTAGTGTCAGAATGAATGTGGTCAGTTTGCACTATACATTTCTGTGTTCACTGTGCTATTACCTCTTATTGCATCATTGTATTTCTATAATATTACTGCTGATAAGGTTGCCAGGGAGTGACTGCATGGCATTGCAGTGATGGAAGAGTCAATGAAATGATGTCTAAGGTCATGCCACATGTTAGTGTCCCAAGTAAACACAATTCATCATTGTCTCACTGATATACTTTTTTTACATCACCAAGTGGCTGTCTTCTTGGACTTGAGGTGGGCTTGCAAGCTTTTAAGAAGGCCTGTGACTGTAAAACAGACCCAGGCTGAGTGGTGACACTCTTGTCCCTGTTACCTTCCACTTGCATCATCTACTGTTTTGCAGACATGCCTGAGGACTTCACACATACACTTTGTAGTGTCAATTCAGAATTTTCTGGATCTGACTCATGTCCAGACCACTCTGACTCTGAGGATGACACTTCTGATCTCAAGGAGCTTCAAGAATGGTGTTGAATCATGCATGAACCACCTCCAGATGCTAGTGCTCCCCAGCTATGCATTGTACATCACTTTCTTTTCATGTTCATTTAGTATTCTTACACTACAGTGACAGGGACTTGGTGCTACTCAGTTGGCATACTCAAAACTTCACATTGAGATGAAGAAGCTATGAACTGACTACAACAGTCTACTCTCCACTCTCCTGCAGAACTGCAAGAGAGCTGTGGAGAATAACCCAAACACAAAATTGGACAATAACATTGCTGCCCAAGCAAAAAAGTATTGTTTCTTCTACCATTTCTGGGTCTCAAAGGATGTTTTCCTGCTCATGATTCCACTGCCCAGATACAATCTGAATGACCCCACTCATTGGAGTATGCCTGAATCAAAAATTATTGGCCTTAAGGTGGAACTCTATTCCATGCTACCTAGTGACCTCAAGGCCTGTGTGACAACTTATAGCAACTTTGGCCATGTGGTAAGTGAACATTTACATCCCACAATTTGAATGCTAATGTTTATTGTTTCTAGTTTTCAAATGTGGAGACCCCACCAGCAGTGATTGCCCAGGAGCCACCTACCAAAGAACATTGTATCACCCAGTGTAAGGTAAAGGGTAAGTAGTTGTATTGCCATAGTCAGCCATGTGAGCATGCAAATTTTGAGCTTTCTGGCTATGAACCCCTACATCAGTAAATCACTTTGAGCTGTGGAGCTCTCCACAGTGCTCCATGATACACAGAGTCCCCTAGCTAGGTCCAGGCTGGACAGATGCACCCAACAACACTTTTTGCTATGGCTAGTTGCCTGTTACTATGGAATGGTCACATTGTCATGGAACTTTGTCCAGTATCTTACTATGGATTGCTATGGAACTTTCATGCTTAGATATCACTGTACAAAACTGGCCAGACTGTATTCTCCTTGGGGTGTTGTCCAGTACTCCCCATCTCAATGTTTACTTTGCAAACATGTGATCACTCCACAACTAGGAACAGTTCACAGCAGGTATGACAGGAACAGGAGCATTGGCATCAATTGCATACTATGTGTAATGACAGGTATGACAGGACTAGGTATTATGAAATCAATCAAGGACTACTTGAATGTGCTGGTACCTCTCTACATTTGAATCAACCTCTTGCAGTGCAGCCCTGATATGAGGAGTCAGCATGAGCATGTTGGCTGCCCCAGTACTTACCATCCTTCCTTTGCCCACTGAGAAAGCTGATTGCACAACCTTGTGCTGTGATAGGGATTATGGAGGATGTTGTTCAGCACCTTCATCATGCCATGGAAAATGGAATTGTAAGCCTTGCCAGAGAATTGAGGCATTGTCTTTCCTGTGCTGTTCTTCACAAATCTGTCCAACACACAATGATACTGCAAGAAAAGTTTGAGTTGCAGTGACTCAGGGTGTAAAATAACTCACTGCAGCTGCAATGAGAGCCAGACAGGAAAGGGGAACTGAATTGTTGAAGGACTCAGGATGCTTATCTGTGATTTGATAGGTCCCAGTACAGTAGAATTGTATGACAGCTTCCTTGAGGGTGGGGTGAGCGAAATTCCTGGTTTTTCCCTGATAAACCAATCCATTAGTAGTGCAGACAATGAACTGCATGAACATACATTCTCGTTGAAACCATCTTGCAGGAAAAGTGAGTTGTCAAGGAGCTTTGCAGCAGCAGTCTCTATCCATTGTACATGAACCTGTGGTGCAACATCAGAAGGAGGGATAAGGTTGAATGCAGATGGTGTGGTTGCCAGCATAACCAACTTCAATTCCAAATGCCAGGTAGATATATCACCAAGGAGCTACTGGCAGTATGTCAGTAGCTGTAACCAAAAGATGGGACTACTTACGAGGCATGCCATATCTTGCTTGTGGTCAGGCCAGTAACCTATAAAGTTAGGATAACAAGACATGTATAAAGCGAAAATATTGTTACTCACCATCTTCAAATTGCACACCACATTGATTCCACTCAATGATGACAGTGACGAGCACCTCTGTTATGGAGAGGTTGAAGTCGTGAGATATTGATGGGAATGGGTTAGAAAGTGCATGTGCAGCCCTGCATTCTCACTTAGCATCTTCAAGACAGTCCTTCCATACTGCCTTGTGAAATCTCAGTTGTGAAGGCAATGGGCCCTCATCCTTAGCTTTCTTGGAGTTATGAGGGGCTCTGGTGCACTGAGATACTTTGTTGACCTGAGTCATGTGCAAGGGTCAGAAGATCACGATCAGGAACAGGATGGCCATTAGTGTGATGGTGGCATTCAAGAATGTCAATGAACAGTGCCACATTAGGAACCCTAAAATAACAATCTGAATATATAAAGCTAGCAGGAATGGCATTTTCGTACCTCCGGCTGAGCCTTGTCCTTGGATTGTAAGCTTCACAGAGCCACATCATCATCCTTGTCATGTGAGTACTGAAACTCATGGTCAGGGGGTAAGGAATTGTGGCGAATAGGATTGCTTGTTGTCATTTCTTGGGAGAAGCCTAACAAAGAACATTGAGCCAATACCATAATAACCTCTGATGTGTACCAGGATGAGTTGATTGCCTAAGATTTGTTGCACCCCATCCAAATGCATTGTCCTCATCTTTGTTGAACTCATTGCTGGAGACCTCACCAGCCTCTGTGTCTGATGGGTTATTACTCAAGGACTCTGACTCCTCTTCTGAGGAGCCCTCTGCTGACAGCTTCTCCAAACTCTTGTGGCAAATGTCAGTGGTTGCTGAAGTTTGTCTCAATGAGAGTGAGCTATCAAGGGAGGGGTCAATACAAGAGTTGGGGACAGTAGCAGGTGGCTGGTGGGGGATAAACCGAGACTGGTAGTTGGGCTGGGGTGTTGGCAGATGAGATGTATTACTGGGAACTTGGTCTCCCTGAATCATGGTGATATAAGGATTATTGAGCACTTGAAGGTCAGGTTCCATCCCAGGAGGCACAATATGACCTGGCTGTTGAGCCAGAACACTGAAAGCAAAGCGATGGGAGTCTGTGGGGCACTGATGGAAGACAGGTGTTGCTACTGCTGTTGAAGACTGAGGGACAGGATTCTGAAATGAACATTGTATATCAGTATGAAAAACACTGACTGGAGGCATATCAGCTGGTCTAGGACCATTCACAATGGGAGGTGTGTAGGGTGGTGGGGCGACATTGGACTTTGCAAGCGGTTAGCTTGATATTTGCAAATAACTAGAACTGACCTTCAGTTTTGCATTCTGGCCAGCACTGCAGCCCCCACCCTTTTTCTGCCAAGTGGGCAGAGGTGCAAGAGGATTTACACAGAATTGTTGGGGGGATCCATTGACTTTCATGGCCATGTAGCTTGGCCTTCAAGGGCAGTACCAATCCACTCCAATTGCTCGGCCCTTCCACCTGAACCCACCCCTGCCCTTCTGCTACAATGGAGTCCCACTGTGGAAACAGACTGAGACTCTTCAAGATTGATGGGTGGGCTTCCTAGATGCTTGTTTTTTGCAGGTTGAGTGCTTCTGTTGGCCTCTGGTCATCGTTTGGCTTTTTTGCTATCCTGCTTTTTCAGCAGGATTGTTCTAGATTGGGTGGACATCTGAAGGTACAAGCAGTTAAACAGAGAACAATATAAAATGGAAGCCTGGGGACCATGACGAAATGACATCTTGTGAATCCATATAAACATTGACAGGTTCATTGTCAGATGTAAAATGAAACAATGCACAGAGATAGTTACCTGCTGCAAATGAATTGAAACACTTTACACATAACATACAGAACGTGAACTAAACATAAAATTCATGCTAAGACTACACACCTTTGAAGCATTTATTGGGTATAGGAGGGTTATCCATGCTCCTTACTTCTTCACAAAGGTGTTTAGAAGACATAATTGCTGAAGACATAACATCCATATTGTTCTCCTGACTTGGATGCATGCTTGAATTAAGCACTTTGTGCTGGGTGATGATCTGCTGGAATGCATTTGTCATCTCCAGTGGTTTCTCATATGGCATGCTGGCCAAGAAACAATCAAAAAGGGAGATAATGTCAGAGAACTGCACTGCAGTTCCACTCAGCAGGGACTGCCCAAGCAATACATGCCACTTGTTAGCCAGAGGGATTAGATCTTGAAAATATTGTGAGACCTCAGAATCCAGCCTTGATTTGGACAGGTCATTAAGGAATGTGAACTTGGTGCATCTGGCAATTTTGAGATCTTCAGCTGCCTTTTCACTCCACAAGCCAAGAAGTGTCTTTTCATGGCTGATATCTTGATGCTTGTGGCCAAGTGGCCCATCATAAAGGATGAGGATCCAGATGAAAATGTAGAACAGGGATTTGATATCATCTGCAAATGTATGGTGTATAGTAGTAGGGTGATTGATGAATATGCAGGTGAGAGAGGCGCTTTTCCAGATTGATGGGACATTAGTCTTTCCACTTTTAGTGATGGCTTCCTTGAGTTGGCAAAGGATATTCACTGAAAGGAAGGGGACTGTCCCCTTTGCATACTATCAGCTTCGAGTCCCAAAATGTTTTGCATAGTACTTACTGTGCCACCCAAGTCATATTCCCCCTGTAACATGACCCATACAGCAAATTCCCAGTCGAGGAGAAAGCTGTGTGACCCATTTGTGAAGTCCTCGATCATTGTATTGTTGATGCTACAATCTCAATGGAGGACACCCCTCTTGAGAGCCTGCTGTTGGACTGTTAAAGCAATTAGTATTGATTTTACAAGTGGAAGAGGATACATACTTCATAAAATATCTTGGATGCATGAAATGAGTTCCTTTTTTGTCTTGAACATTACCATTGGCCTTGCACATGCTTCATAGCCAATCACATGTGAGTTCTCCGAGACTTCATGCACAATTGCCACTTCTCATCCATGATATTGTTCAGTTTTATCAACAATGCCTGGCTCAACCTCAATGACCCAGTAGTGTTGCAACTTGGGAACTCTGTTGATTTCCTGGACCAGCTTCATCATGTTGACTTCATGCAGGGCTGTCCTCTGCTCTGACTCCTCCACCCAATAATCCTTGATGATGTAGTATTCCCATTGTAGCATGCAAGGTAACAAACAGTACCCCTTCCTAGAAAGCCTGTGCTCAAGAATAATACATCGAGCACCTCATAGAAGGTCTTGTTTACTTGGATCCTCCCAATTGCTGGGATGTGTTTGGGTGATGCAGGAGTCAGGAGTGAGTTTGCACTGGGGAGGATGCCCAACTCCAAGTGAGGAGAAGGCATTGCAGGAGAGGGGAAAGGGGAGAGAGGTATCACAAGTGCTGTGCATTTGCAGCTGTGTGCAGGATGGGGGGATATCTCTATGGTCAAATCGAAGCCAAGGGTTGAGTGGGAGCCAAACACAACAGCACATACAATGTATATGAAGACTTCTGTGTCAGTGTGGATATTGATAGAGGGTGAGATTGCACCACCAGAGTGGTCGTAAAAGTGAAGTCGAAGAAGTTCACTATCAGTAATTGATAATCCAAGGACATAGTGCTTCCAGGGCTGGTCGATGAGGGTTAGATATGCCTTAGTGTCCATCATCTTCCCAAGGTGGGATGCTGGCTTGAAAGACTCCTTTGAGTACTTGGTGATGACTTTGGGACTTAACCACATAATCTTGTCAAGGGATACTGGGGTGTTATCAACAAGGATGAGGTTGGGCTTTTGGGAATAACCTGTCGAACCTTGCAAGCTGGTTCTGCTCCAATCCTCCATCCATTGACACTGGGGTTTGCTGGATAGACTGGGCATCATGGATTTGGCAGCAGTTCCAATAGCATTGAGAAACAGAGAAACTTGCTTTTCAAAGCAGAGCTTTTCCAATTCTACTGGCAGCTCTGAGGCAAATGGCCCAGTGTCACACACCAAAGGTGTTTGGTGAGGTGGACATGGATACAGCTGATGAATGGAGATGAAGACCATAGCCCTCATGCAAAGAAGGACAGCCAGGAATGTCGGCAGTCATCCCTTGCACAAGAACAAGTCATCAGTGCCAGAGAAAAAGAAAGGGAGTAGGGTTAAGGCACTGGCTAAAATTCTTAAGCACCCATGTACAGCATTCCAGTTTTCAACATATCTCTGCCATTTCTGCAGATACCAAGACCATTCCCACACTCACTTGTAGTGCTCAGCCACATGATCTTACCTTCCAAAATTGGAAAGGATTTGTGCACTCCACATGTTTCTACAGCACTCCCTCCAAAAGATGCTCATTTTGCTAAATTCTTCTGATATGGCTGCCTCTACATCAGTCATTTCACTTGTCCCCTTTGTTAGGGACCATGGCTACATATATCTACCAGGAGTTCCTACCAGCTTCCATCCTGAAGCATCCTGGTACATCCCACCCTCATCTGTGCCCTCTCAGCCCATCCAGCTTGGACAGCATGTTCTTTTTGTCAGTATGACCTCTAGGAGGACAGTTCTTTGGTCACCTCAGGTCTGTCACTCACTTGGAATGGTCTTATGTGGTCATTTCAGTCTCTCCAGTCCAAGAAGCATATGGATCCTTCCTCCCTGCTCCCTGCAATGTCTTTATACCAGTCTCATCCATCATTCTTCCAAGATTGCTGACAGCTACAGTATAATCTACTGTTCTCCACTCTCCCTGATTGCATCCATGACAAGTATGATGCACATCTTGCCTCCTTGTTGCAAGATACAGCAGAAGACACTCCCCCTTCATCCACTCTTCCAACAGAGCCTCATTCATGAAGTTTTTGTTTGCTTCCCTGAGAGGATGGTTTGGGGGGGAAAGTTGCAATCCCCTATGCTCCTGTCACCCCACAGACCCTCAAAGCTTGACCCCTGTTGACATCTGACTCACCCTGTCCACTTTTGGATGTACTACATTGGCATCAGATCAGCACTGCCTCTCTGTCATCCCACCTTGGCCTAGAAGCAATCTCTTTGAGATGTGACATGCACAGCCTCCCCCTAATGCGATTCCAGTGTGCTTTCCCAGTTCCTGACATTACTTGACTCATACTGTGACATTCTGACTGTCTTTGACTCACCTATTGCCAATACTTACCAATCTTTTGACTTTGCTTACTGATTCTTTGCTTTTTGGCTTGCTAATCCTTACCAATGCTTACCAATGCTTTCCAAGACAATTACCCATCACTTACATTCCTTACTCATCAGTTACCAATCACTCACCAAGTGTTTGCACCTTGTTTTCCAAGGGCAACACCCCTGTACTGTATATAAATCACTGTACTTAGATAGCAGAGAAGAAGATGTCAGAGAGCCCCTCTTGCTCGCATTTTATCATCACTCAGTAATTCATTCAGCAGCTTCGATAGTTGAGACTTTATTAAGGGTCTAACTATTGTCTACTTCACTTATCCTTGTCTATCATCAATATACTTCGCTCCAAGCCCTCCCTGAGCTCAGTGCAGCTTAGGACATCGAATTAAGTCATCATCCATCCTTCTGTAGGCTGACAGCAGTCTACCCTATTGCATTCTCTCACATTCCTGCTCCTTCTTCATCAGGAGCACCCCCAACCCTCAGCACTTGTCTTTGAGTGTTGTAGCTCACAAAAACCCTCCCAAAGAACAGGTTCTACCTATCTAGGTACTGCATAGGCACACCACCACTTGCTCTTTTGTCTTTTGTGTTGGTTTTGGTTGGTTTTCACCACTGAACCACACTTTGACTCACAGCATGCAGGACTAAAATTATCAATGTCAAAGGTGTATCAGATTAAGCTCATGCCCATACCTTGATCACAAAATGGAACAGGTGCCAATCCCCATTGTTCCATTTGAAGAGATTGCTGTGTGGATGGAAGTTCACCTACATAATTGATGGATATCACCAATCACATGAATAGAACCAAATAAATGCTCACTGTTGCATATTTCCTTGAAAAGATCCCTCATCTCTGATTGTTCAGGCATGCCAAAAGTCAAACAGTTTGCACCATTGTCCTCATCCACTGCCAAGTCAAAAGATTCAACTGGGTACATTTGAAACAAGTGGGGGAGGTGTTGGTTCCCTCATATCCTGCAATTGAGCAAGCAGGTTAGTCAGAGAATCAGGTTGAGGAGATTGGTCCCTCAGATTTGATGATTCATGGGTGATGGGCAGAGGAGATGGTTCCTGCACATTCTGCAAGTCTGCCAGAAAATCGACCTGCATAGTAACATCTTGTGCAGGTGTTGAAGACCTGTCCATCCTGTTTAATCTATAGACCATACATGAGTTCCAAAAAAGGTTTCCACTCTGACTGTTTGAGGGATTTGACAACTACTTCCCCTTCTGATTGCTGCCTGTTTGCTTGCATGATCTCTTTGCATCAGGAGATGGAACATCTGCATCTGGCCTTGCAGGGGCCTTTCTGACACAAGGTGACTTCCAGGTGCTACCAGGGATGCCCTGTTTCACATTCGTGAATGCTGCATTGGTGGTCACAGATCCATTATGGTTGGACTTGGACGAGTATTTGGACCCAGGTTGACATTGATTCATGTCTGGCTCACTCAATTCTGACAGAGCCTGCTTAATATACAGTGCAAACTTGTTAGCCATAACAGCTGATTCAACATGACCAAACTTGCCTGGTGTGTGTGCTTCAGGGCAGATTTCAGCTTTCCACCTTTTTTTCTGCTTGTTGACCCCTCCTCAGTTGGGTGGTCAGTGAAAGGAATGCTCACCAATCCATCTTCATCTGCATATTCTGAGTGGTCCTGTAGTTCAGTTGTGTACTCATTCCCTGAGTGCAGATCAGGGTTTTCTGCAAATACAAGTTACAGTGGGAAGCTCACTATTCAGCAATGTTGCTGTTTTCTTTGAATTGGATAGGGTGGGCAAATAAGTGTCTTCATCAGCTTCATCGTTGGAATCATGGCCTTTGCTTTCCCACCCATTATAGTCAGTTAGCACTTTATTTTGCAGATGATGCACTGGGGTCTTTGCAAGGGCTAGAGGTGCAGAGAGCTGCTCACTATGGGAACCATCAGCAGGTGGGGGATTTGAGCAGGAATGAGAAGGGAATGGTGTCTTGGCACAGTTTTGCCTCCCACCAGATACCTGAAGACCAGAATTGCATTAGTGCTGATCTGTCATGCATGAAAATCACACATGGCACACCTTTTTAGCAGAGGGACCATCTGTTCCAACATCACTCACCTCAGCCTCGCTGTGATCATCCAAACTGTCATCCATGCTGTCATCCACACTATCATCCACACTATCATCCACCACTCCCTCTTCCTGCACCTTACCCTTGCCCTTGACATTTTTCTTTCCAGGATTCTTTTTGCATTTGGGGGCAGGTGTCTTTTGGTATTTCCGCTGCCTCACAACCTGGAGGGGTGCCAAAGTTCTATCCACCAGTGGCTGCAGCTTGCCAGATTAATCAATCCATTTCTGAAATCCAAACACATCATTTGGATGGGATTCCCATCGCTTGCACCAAAAGGACAGCAGCTGGGTAGCCGTTGTTGTCCACATGTGACTTGGGTCACAGTTGAAGGTAAATCCTTCAGGAAGATGGTGGGCTGCTATCATTTCTGCTTGATGATGACCAAAATTCTTGAACAGCACTGCTGACAAGGGATTTCCACATGCTAATCCTGATAGCACTCATGAGAGATTGAGGACACTAAATACTCTGGCCACTCACAGTAGTGAGCAGTCACAAATCCACAAACCATTTTTTGTAGTTGGTCCTGGCTAAGGCCTGTGATTTCTCCTATCCAAATCTCTCCATCAGCATTTTTCACCAATTTCATGGAGTCAACCTTGCCAGTCCTCACTGCTTTGGCCACTGTCTTTTTCTGAGCACAGTTCAGGACTTGACTCACCATCATGCTTGGGCAGTGTTCCTGGTTCCTCAAATGTTTCCCCAAGGTACTCTCACCAGCTTCCTTCCAGTGTGTGGACATCATTGAAGGGGATTCCATCTGCAATTTCATTATTGAAGTCCATACTGTCTGTGCATGAGTCTTACCTAGGCCTAGAGGAGAATATGGTGGACTCATGTGCATGCCTGTATAGTTCCCTCCTCATTTTTCCACCCAGCCATACACACTATGCACATTCTGCAATACCTCCACATCTCCATCACAAAGTTTCAGACATACTTGTACCCATACTTGGCTGCATTCCTGGGAACCAGGACAAATTGAAGACTGGGAAGTTGACCTCATACAATCACACCTTGCTTTTGTCTCTGGCACAGGGCCTTCCCACCCATTCCACCTTTCTGCTATATCTTCAACTGCAGCCAATTGTTCCTCTGTCAGGTCATCCTGAATAAAAGCTGTCAATGCATTCTGATACTGTTGGATCTGCTTGCTTCCATGGGTATTGCCTTCTTCTACTTTCATTTTTTCAAGCTTCTCCTGTATTTGCTCTTGGTACAATTTGCAGACCACTGCCCACACGGAGTATTTGTAACTGGATCTAAGGGTAATGCAGGGCTTCTTTGACCAGAGGGGCTTTTTCAACCAATCTTGTATTAGCTACAAGGGTGCTTTGAATTGTGAGCATCCAAATCAGAACTTTTAGAGCATACCTTGCACTTGGTCTGGACTTTGCTCCCTCTCAACTCCTTGTTCCTCTCCAATCACTGCATCTCCTCCCATATGGATAGCAGAACTACAGGCTTCTTCTTCTTCCCTGCTTGCCTCCATTCCTGGTATCAGTGCCCAAGGATCTCCAACTCTTCCACTTCAAACCTTTCTTCCTCCCTTTCCCCCACATCTGATGGTTCTATGTCTTGCTCACCATCAGCATCA